AGTGCAACATAAGCATATTCACTGGGCTACTCCAGCTCCTTCAATACCGTGTAGGGCCTTTTCAAACAGATAATGACATAAAACAAGCTGAGCTTCAAAAATTTCAATTCTGTGCTCATAAAGGTATTTTAAATACTCTACACACCTCCAAGAAGTTTTACCTTTCCAATATCTTAGCTGGGACTACAGTGAAAAGATAAAGACATTTTCAGCAGGTGGAATGCAGGGATGCATGATGACAGGAAAGCTGTGGGTGTGAAAGAGCCCTGTTCAATACAGAAAGGAATTGGAAAGTGGAGAAGTAGAGGAGCTCTTCAACAGATCTTTTGTCTACAAGATAGCAAAAATTTTACATAATTTTTTGAAAAAGTTTGCTTCTCGACTGCCATTCCACTAGGGAGTGTTTCACAGAATTGGGATTATAATCATACTACTATTAAATTAGCTCTGCATTGAGCTGAAGAGTTGCAAACAGTACCACATATATCTGATTAAACTATTCAGCATTCGAGAGGTTATTCCGAAAGTAAAAGCACAAAAAAAACCACTTAAATACCACCCACTCCCTTGTTCTTTCCTTGCCAAGCATGCACATGGTTGCACATAGCTTTAGAAGTCTATCCCAAGCTCTAAATTATGTCTGTGTAGCAAACTAGTGTGCAGATACAGGAGTTATTTGAGTACTGATATATAGGGATTATATTGAGCAAATAGACTGACCAATACCTGAGACTACTCATTTCAAGCTGGTTTGGAAGTTCTGTCTTGCAAAGCAACTGGTGTCATAGAGGCCATTTGATGGATCTTTACTTCCAGATTCGTTTAAAACTGAGCTTGTCTGGTTTTTATTTGTCCTGGTTTCAGTTGGGATAGAGTTAACTGTCTTCCTAGTAGCTGGTACAGTGCTGTGTTTTGAGTTCAGTATGTGAAGAATGTTGATAACACTGATGTTTTCAGTTGTTGCTCAGTAGTGTTTAGACTACAGTCAAGGATTTTTCAGCTTCTCATGCCCAGCCAGGGCACCTGACCCAAACTGGCCAACAGTGTATTCCATACCATTGTACGTCCCATCAAGATTTAGA